CTGAGATTCCATGATGTCAGCTGTACATCAACTTAGAGGGCAGGGAATTGAAGTGAGACCACTACACTGCTTACCTGGGAATGATGTGTGGATATAGATCATGCCTGTAGCACCTGACATCAGATGAATGACATTTCTGTTTACAGTTCCTTTGGACATAGTCACATATAGATGATCAACACAGCATTAGAAAACAGAAAAAAACATGGAGAACAATATCAGGAGGTCTTGTCTTTTTAGCATCATACTTAGAATGGTGACCCAACAGTCATACAAAAGTGGTGAAGCAGAGGACCAGTTTCAGTCTATTTTCTTTGACTCAGTTCCTTAAAATTAAAAATGGCAAAGACATGTCTAAAACTATGTGTCAGTGGTTTCCAGCAACAGTCCATGTCACTCATTGCATTGCAAGTTTTTTAACGCTGAACACACATGTATTCTAACCACACGTATGTCCTGAATTCACTATTAACGTATGTATATCCCCTGAAACAGAGAGCTAATTGAATTCTTTCCATAGATCTTAAAAGAATAAATCAATTTGAATTTGTTTCTATCATTTATTTCCATGGATAGATGATGATATATGTTCAGTGCTTAACATGATCTAACACATACTCTGAAACAGGTATTACTGAACCTTTAACTTGTTCACACATTTAACTTGCTGTCAAAATGTTTTCAGAGAAAATGCCTTCTGCTCACTGACCTCACAGGGCGTTGAGTTTTGAATCTCTTGGCGGTTTTGGCCTAATTGAATAAGAGCAATACACAAAGCCCAGATCTTGGTGCCTGCACCAGACACTGTCAAGCTTCAGTTTGAATGTTCTAAACTCTGCTCAGTGTGAAATCAACAAGATCTCAGTTGTCCTGGTGAAATACAATTATCAACCAGGTATGAGGTACCAGTTTTAGAAATGCACCACATGTCAGCACAATCTTCTATACACAGTGATAAACACATAGCTGAATTACTCTGATAGAAGTCAAATTGTTTCCAATTAAAAACAACTTCATATCTAGATTAGAGGAATGGTCAATAGCTCATTGTTTATGAAGATAAAGTATTGGAAATATCTTTTTTGGAAGAGGCAGCAAGACATGTTTTTCCACCTAGGAAAAACATATACTGGGACTTCAATATTTATTTCAAAATAAATTGAGTAGCATAAATCAGTAGCTGAATGATGTTTGCTCTCTACTTCTTGGATACCACGAAAACTCACTTGGAAACAACCATGAGACCATTTTGTGCTGTAACTGCAGTTGTTAAAATTGTGACTCCATGAAATTGATATTTTGACCTAGATTTCGTAAGCTTAAGTTTTAATCTGACTTTCTATCAATCATAAAATTAGTGATATATACTGTGGACATTTATTTTTTTTAGTTTACCGGATGGTAACTCCATTTAAGTACCTCTTTTGTTGGAAGATAGTTCTATTACAGTAGTTAAGACTGTATCAGGTATGCTTGTAGATTGATCAGCACTCTCCTGTTCCTTTTTGTCTTCAGTTCCATTCCCGTATTTCCAGGCTTGGTTCTGAACATGCTTTGCAAATAGTAATATGCATTAAGGCACTTCTAAGGTTAACTTTGATGAAGCAGACACTAGTTGTGCAGCATAATTCTGGCATGAAAAAATGGTTTGTGTTTGCAAAGGTTTGTTTCATTCTCTGACAAACTGAAGCATAATTTCCAAATCTAGGAGACATTTTACATCTCTGGATGTAAACAGGGAAGCTCACTATCATATGCGACCTCAGTGTGAAATATGATTAATTCATTACTCTTTGCAGCTTTTTTCTTAATTACTGCATATAAGCATACTCTGTAATATAGGAATACACAGATGGCACACAAGATTGATCATTCATGCAATGTTAGGAAATTAAATTGCTGAATAGCTTCTGATATGCACTAAATGGGCAAGTGGATTATTTTTATCAGCTCTTGTAACAGTTTAAAAAATGCTTCAAATTTAACATGAGTGTAATGTGCTGCTGCTCTATTACTGTTGTAAAAAGAGGAGATCTGTGGTAAAGGGCACTGACAGTAGTCTCTTCTAAAGACATACAACAGAACTGGCTACAGAGGGGCTGTATGTATCTATATATATGCCAATTTTTATAGAAATATACTGAATAATTTAATAAAACGTGACCTGATTTAAGCGTAATTCTGATCTTTCTGTAAAATTTGGTTATTCCCCAGTTCTTACTCATTCTTCATTCAGTCTCTGCTTTTGATAGATTGTATTCTTGCTACACCGAATCCATTAATTTATAAAATTTTAAGTGGCAAATTATATATATATATATATATATATTCTTAAAATAGCAATTGGATACATTCTGCTCATCTCTTGGTTCCACCAGTAGAACCAAGACAGGAGCTGCTGTAAAAGGAAAGAGCTGGAAGACAAGAGTCTACAGAATCTTTTTCTTCATGACTGGATAGAGGTCTGAGGGATGCTCCCCTGTCCCTGTAAATCATTGGTGGGCAAGTGAGGAGGTCAGTGAACTGCTGCTCTATTTATACTGAAAAATGGTTCTCAAAGAGAATAGCTCGGAGTGTCTTTTTTTCCCTTGCTGTGTGTCCTGGGAATTGGAGCCAGCTTATGCTGACTTTTGGCTTTTATCCTTAATGCAAAATATATCAAGGTAGCATGTATCAGATTGCTACTATGTATAATAAGTTATTTTAATTAAATTCCTTTTTTTTTTTTTTAATTTGACCTACAGAACAAAGATACGTATTCTAACATCTTACTAAGATGTCAGATATGCTAATGAATTGAGTTTGACTACAAGCAGGTCCCCTAGAGGAAGATGTAAGAGTCTTTGTGATAAATATTCGATGAAACAGAAAACATTCAAGCACGTTTTGAACTTCTGGAGTTGCACTGTAAGTTGCAAGAAGCTACTTAGCTTTTCTCAACAACAAAAGAGTAACGACACACATATGTATATTCCACTGTCATGGACAGGAGATTAGACAAGATTATGACTTTATAATGTCAATTTATCACAGTGCTACATGTACTGCTACCAAGTACAAATACAAATCATGAAAAACATCTGTAAGCCCCTATAAGTAATTTGTCAGAATACTTTAAAGTATGTGTATAATAAATGAAGAACACATGTTTCATATGAACCAAATGTAACTAGAGCTCTACCGAATGCTTTGCCAGAGACTTGAACAGCTGTGGACATCACCTCTCTCTCCCTCTACTCAGCTTTAAAAGGCATTGTTTTCCTTTTAGCTTGACAGGTGATGTTTGCAATACCGTCAGTCTTTATCAAAGACAGATTGCCCAAAATATCTTCGTAGAGCATTTTCATGTCCTCAAATACTGCCTTTTGATTTTCATTTAAGGTATTTGGCACTTTCTGCTGAAAAGGTCCTCACTGATTTATAATCTGCACCATCCTTGCCAGATTCTAAAAAGACAAACACCTTCTGCCGTTCACTTATGAATAAATATCAGGTTACGTGCTGTACAGTGTTTTCTGTCTGGTAGGTACAGTCAAAGATATGGAAAGCTTTCATTTACAGTTGTGTGCACACAAACACACCTTCCTAGTTTCTAAAGAAGTTTGTCTGATTTTCCTGCATTTGATGCCTCCACAAGGCTACGGATTTTATCTGTCAAACAGAATATACAATGGAAATAGCAAAGTCTCCCTGCTTTTATGTTTTCCGCCTTAAATTAAGGTCACAGCCTTATCCCAATGATATATTTATTTACACAGAGAAAAAAAAGGAGATGACAGTCTCCCTACCTAACAATATCATCTAAATACTTCCCTGTAAACCAAGGTGTAGAGTTTAATTCTCACTATAGTCTTCATACTCAACAGTTTTTGGTTGGCTTTTGCTTTTCTCATTTCTGTTTCAGATCTCTGATAACAATAATCAGTGGAAGATAATTTTCATTAAATCCCCTAACATTACTTCCTGTACTTTTTCACCTCTACAGTGATTCACCAAACCTGAAAAGGGAATTTTTTTTTTTACTTGATGGTGCTGCATTATAAAAAATATTAAATGCAGAGCCTTTTAAAATACTGAACACTAAAGATGTGAATGAATTATAAACATTCATTAACTCAAGTCAATCTAACACACACTAGAATAGGTGCTACTAACCCATGTGCCTACTACAGATAGGTAGTAAATTTTTAGTTGTTTAGTTGTTGGGGTTTTTTTGTAGTTATCTGTATTTAAAAGTAAGAGGAATGTAAAATATTTTCTTCTGTGTTGAACATTTGCAGTCAACCATTGTACATTTAAAAAAACCCAATCCACCAACTATAAGTTGTCTTAAATAGCCCCAAGTGTCCCTGAAGAGCTACTGTGTGCTGTGTAAAAGCTGAATAATCCTCCACATGTCAGAAGGTGACTCTTCAGCTGTTCAGGATCATCAGCTGATATGTTACCACTCATAAAAAAAGATTCAAAACATAAGAATGCAGATTTAGGTAAAGATCATCGTGATGGTAATGGAACTGATCTGCAGGAACTGACAGCAACATTAAAACCAGTCTAGCAAGAATGATTCAAGAAAGTGTAGCTTTTACTTAAAACCAAAATGCAATGAACACAGCAAATTCACACAAAAATAAGTTCACTAGGAATACTTTTCTCTTTTTTTTTTTTTTTGACATCTTATTTGGCTCATTTTTCCTCATTTACGAAGATAAATGGAAAAAAAAGAATACGTTCAAACACTTTCTATTTAAATACGTACATATTGACTGTAGTACTCATGTAACAGCAGAAGTGCAGTCTGTGCAAAAGTACTTCATAGCATTATTGCTCAGTGATCTGAATAAAATAACATATTTATGAAGGCACATTGATAGAAGAAAAGCTGTTTCAATCAGTTGTGTCTGTTTTAATCATCAAAATAGGGGAGTGTACTTTGGCCCTTTTGCTTAGAAAAATATGACTTTGACTTTCAAAATCTCTTCTTGAATATTTAGTCTTAGTATTTACATGGTAGTTTCTTCCCATTCAAGCTCCACATCACCTACAAAAGAAACAGATATATTACTTTAACCTACTTTGTAAACAGGTAGTACCTAATGGCAGATAACTGTTTTGGCTGAAGTGAGATCTCACGGGGGCAAAAGGATGGAAGGCTTGAGCAATGGCTGTTACCACAAGGGAGGCTTAAGGAGAGCAAAATGGTACACCTTTATTCTTCTGAAGCCAGAAAATGTCAGACTATTTCTTTGCTTCTTAGACTGGACAAGTCAATTCACCTGCTATGAAAAAACAATTCTGAGATAATTTGTATCTGCTTACCTTCCATGGCATCCAGAGAGTCCATCTTTTGAAGTGCTGAATAATTTACAAAACATATTGGTTGGCTACTTCCCCTGCTTGTCAGCAGATCCAGGACACACTGATGCAAAAAGATATATTGTGCCTGTAAAGATGTGAATTTCAAGACATTTCATTAGAAAGAAAAAAAAAAGTACTTATGAAACAAAAATAAACAAAAATACTTCTGGATTTTTTGTATAGCATTCAGGTGTTACGAAAGTAACTGCAGTTTAACTTAGTCATCTCAATACTTTGATGATATCATATATGCCTGGCCTGATTTCATGCATCACAAGGTATAAGGTGTTAACATTTGTCAAAAGATGTTAATTGCTATGGCTAGTAAAAGTATGAAATTATACTAATAATGTCTGAGAACAACAGCTGTGCCATATTTTTCTGTAAAGGTGTGATCTATGAAGATGCGTTTGATTACTTTTTGTTGCTTGTTAGACTGAAGAAACTGAACAAAGAATTTCCCTCTTTATAACATAGAGAGAACCAGCAGGGTGCACTCAAATGCAAAAGTTCAAGTAAATCTATGTGTTCTAGGATGCACCGTTGCAACCCGTGAAAAACCCACACTGTTTTCTGTGATACTTCTTGTACTGTAGCATGACTTTTAATAGACTATAATGCCAAGGGTGGGCAACTAAAGTTACTTTGACACCACCAATGACAACTGTGGGTAATAACTGCTGAAAAGAGAAAATAAAAGAAGGCAATGCCAGGATGAAATAAATAATGAAATAAAAGAATAAAACCAGATAGGTATGGAGACTGAGATTATATCTCAAAAGTTGTGAATTAATCAGTGGGGGCACTGCAAGATGGTGGAAGTTGATCATCCTCAAAACATTTAAAGTCTCTTGCACAGTTTTGATCCCCATCAAATAATTCCCAGTGTGTTTCAGGTCATTCCCCATAGAGGACTTGCATGCAGCATTTTGTGAGGAGTGCGGTAACTGCCGAGATGTTTCTTTGCACAAATATAGGCCATTCTGTGCTCAGACAATGATTGCTAGCAAAGGAAAATTATTTTTAAGTTATAATCAAGGAAAAAAATAGGTCTGACAGCAACTGATTTTTTATTCTACTCATAGATCCTACAGACAATTTCATTGAGGGATTTCTAAACTGAGTTCTGGAGATGAGTTCCTCAGGCTTCTCTCTTCACATCTTCTATGCTGATCACATAAAATCTGAAATATAGATTACTAAACAGTGTTTTATAACAGAGCTGTCAGTATAGCCTGACTACTGAATCTGCCATAAAACTTTACAAGGTTCAGTTCTCCTGTAGCAAGTTTTAGTGCTGATAGGCATTTTGTAGTCTGCAAACATGAGTTAGAGATGACCTGGACAGAGAGCAAGCTGTCACAGGATTTTGAAGCTAATATACAGAAAGTCACGGTATATTGGAAAGTCATGCAGTAGAGTAAAAAATTTCAAGCAGCAGCCTTGGGTTAGAAATGGCCTGCAGGATGCTTATGCAAAACGCTTCATGCAAATACAGTTGGATTGCCATTCCACTGGGCTTTTAAGAACATCTTTAAATTCTGCTGTTATTCCTTGACAAATACCCAGATATCCTAGCACAGTAGAAGCCTTCCTCACTAGCAGATCCTCCATACTTAATAATAAGAATGTCATAAATCCTTTTTTTTTTTTTTTCCAGATCCAACAAACATTGCCTTAATTTTACAAACTGTCAAGTCTGTGCTGAATTCTGTCCAAATGTGTTATTTTATTTGAAGTAATTTATGAAGCTGTGTTTTATTCAACACTTGTACATCACTCAAAACTTGAACTTTCTGAGAGTTTAGGAAATTATGATTAAGGTTCTAAAATCTGAGCATTTCAGCACTCATTTCTGCACTAGGCAATACTTTGCTGGCCAAAATCTAGTTAAAAAGAGACAAAAGCATACATTTATAATCCAGATAGAAGCAGGAATTAATAGAAAATTAAGCTGAATTGTATTTGATTTCTAGACTATTTTTTTTAGATCAGAATATCAACGATTTAATTTTTAACATCAGGAAAACAGAATTTAAATACACTGTTACATCTTACCAGATTCTGGACCATGCACATTCTTTCACTTCTTAACTCAGCTACAAGGCCATAGATATCCACAAAATCGTGGTCATTTATATGTTGTGTTAAATGGTCGAGAGCAATATAAACACCTGTTCTTCCAACACCAGCACTGCAAACATAATGCACAAGATAAAATGAGTTTTTATTCTTTTTTTTTTATACAAAATATCTCCTCAGAAAATATTGGTTATTAAAGTACACTGATTATGAGAAGAAAACAGTGGGAAAAAAATGAAAGATTTTGCACCAGTTTTATGTGTATGTCTCCTCAGATAAAGTGAAGGAGATAAAGTGAAATCATGTTCTGACTTTGATTTTACAAGGAGTTCTATGGGAAAGTGGGATTTAACTAAACGAATCCACAGAAGAGGAAACACAACCCTACAACTTCCCTTTGAATTTTCTAAATTTCACTGATTAAAAAAAGGAAATCACAAGATTGTTTGAAATCACATCTGGATTCTGTGATGTTTTTCCTATTTGAGGAAACCCAACACAAGAGCTAGCAAAACATTTAAAATAAAATTATTTTAAAATGAGGATAAATGCACAGCACACACTGGTAGCTAGTGTTGTTTTAATCAAGGGCTTGAGAATGAACAGGATTTTCTTAAAATCACTGTCAGTCTTTTCTGCAACTAATTATTAAATACGGAGTATATTATGGAGGTAATCAGGTAACATATAGCAAAACTATGAAGAACCTTCAGGATCTAGAAACGGAATATAATGAAAGAGTTTTCTGGATATGAGAAAACATGCTGCTTCATAATCATCAGGAGCGTGGGCAGAGCATCTTGCCCATGTTGGCCCCTTCATTTATCTGTGTTGAGAAAAGGGGATGGGATTCATTGTAAAATGGCCCAGAGCATATAAGTGACCTCAGCATATAAGTTGTTTCCTACAACAGTCTCTCTGTCCCCTGCAATAGAGGAAAATGCCAAATAGTCAAGGACAACAATGTCAAATAAAATTTTACCAGGTTTTACCATCCACTGTGGAAGGCATCTGTAGGACATGGAGGACAAATAAAAACTATCCTAGTTTGTAATAAACTCACTGGAGAAAGACAGGGTTTGTGACAACAGGCCTAGCTTTCCTGTCCACACATTTCCTTGCTTACACTGAGAATGAGGCAGTCAAGCCCAGACCTTTCCGTTCAGAGCTGAACACTTCTAACCACCAACACATTTTTAAGAGCCTAAATATAGATTTTAGATGTTTACAGACATCCAAGTTTGAAATCCAGCATATGCAACATTCTATACATACTTGTCATTCTCTGTGGTACCCAAATAGTTTCTTCTTTGTGATAATGATATGTAGATACTAAATGCAATACTTAGGCATTAATTTTTCAGAGCTATAAACACAGAGTTACAGAATGGCTTGGTTTGGAAGGGACCCTAAAGGTCACCTAGTTCCAGCACCCCTGCCATAGGCAGGATTTTCACCCACTGGATTAGGCTGTCCATAAGAACATCCACTGATATCTCAATGGGATTTCAGAGGATGGAAGAACAGGCCTACTTGGGTGTTTTACCTCTGATTAAGGCTCAAGGAACCCTAATGGAGAAGACTTCACTACTATCCATAATAGAGCCATGCTCAGGTACTCAGATTTCGTTCAGTGTCCCTGAGCTTTAATATATAGACCTATAGATATATAAATCTATATATTTAATATATAGATCAGAATGACAAGATACTAAGTAATGATTTCATGAATATACTTACCTGCAGTGAACCACCATCGGCGTATTATCGTGTGCTCGACTTGCACGGATAAGTTTTACAAAGTGGATAATTGGTGCAGTAGTTTCAGGGACTCCATGTTCTGGCCACGAAGTAAAGTTACACTGCCGTACCATCATGCAGTCTCCGTGCTGTAAAACAGTCACAGCACCATACTCAAAAATGGTTCTTGTATCTAGGAGTAATTTCTTGTGCACGGATCTTATGACAAGTTTTTTGATACAGATGGCATCAAATTCATCTTTCAAGAAGTATTAAAGATTTCCGCAGTCCTCTCTATTTGACTTAAATTATTGTATAGGTATAATTTGTGCCTTACATTTTGATACTTCTAGAGCTTGTCTGGAACTTCACTGAACTGGGTTGCCAAATTTATTTAGGGGAAAGCAACTATTCTAATACTGGTCTATCACAGTTAAGGCAAACAAATATACTGGTAAACACAAATATATTTTCTAAGTATTTGGTGCCTTCTCAATCAGAGCAACAGCAATAGTAACTCAACAAGAACAGCTGTTTATGATCTGGTATCTATATTAACCATGAAGGACATAACAATAAAAGCACTGGATCAGGCCAAACCCTATCTAACCCACTATCGCATTTCCAACGGGAATCAAGGAAAATCTTAGTGGAAATCATACGAGATGACAGTGCAACTACAATTCCATAGTATATCCTTTCCATTCCTAGTAGTTTGCAAGTCATGAACCACGTCAGTCACAGACAGTACCTAAAAATTTGATAATACTCAGCAGAATTTTCATTCATTACTTTCTCCAGAGTTTTTGAAATTCTTTCAATTTTTAGCATTCACAGTATTTTGCAGAAATGAGTTTCAACTTAATCAACTCTATCGTAATGAACTAGCTCATTTTGTTTTGAACCAACTATTTGATCTTCTCATATTGCAAAAAAAAAAAAAAAAAAAAAAAAAACAAAAAAAAACACTGAGAAATTGTAAATAATTTCATGTAGAAACTGATTTGCTGTATTATTGAAATTGATAGATAAAAAAAAAGAAGAAGAAATGTTTTTGAATGCAATATGGCAATAAATATGAATTATTTGGTATATATTTTACCTGCACTGGAAAATGATTAAGAATCCATCAATTTAGATGAAAGGTAAAGTGCAATCTTAAAGACAGAAGTACAGCACATTAAATGGTATGCTCTCATGGGGGATATTTCAGCTATTGTAAGCAGTGTATTTAGTCAACTCAGCTTAAATTATCTTGTTTTCTATCCAACTCACCCTCACTAATATGTGACTTTGCATTTTGCTGACATGCATTTTTACTCAAAACAGCCCTTTTTAATTTCGTGTACACTGTGTCTTATTTTAGCTGGGGAAAAACAAAAACAAATAAAAACAATCCTTCTCTCAGTCATTTTAAAGCACTCAGTTGACTTGAACTTCGTGCATAACCTTACAGGGCTGGCAACTGAAACAACCCTCTAAGTGCTTGTTTCTTTCGCAATACGCACAAGCCACAGGATGTTAATGCATCTTCATACTCGGATAGTGGAATTTGGGTCCTAGGATGTGACTGCACTACATACAATGTGTCAGTGTTCTGCAAAAGAAGGCTGACTTCATCTTGGGTCATTATGTTCAGATTCCTTTCCAAGTCCACCTCCTGGTCTGACTTAATGCCACACTTCCAAAGTGTGGAAACTATAGTTGTGGATCATGAGAAAGATGAACACGTAAGCTGTACTCCGCCACCTCCATTCCCAGAACAAAGAGTGGGAGTAATACTGATGATTCTCATTTATATTGGGTGAATTTCCTGGGGGTGGAGGCCAATATGGCTGGTGGTACAGTGCAAAACAGCTGCACTACAGCCAAGCATGCCCTTTAATCTGAGAGGGACACATTCAAAGGGATTTGTCTGGTAACAGAATGGTTAGGATTACTCCTTTCTAGAAGAGACAACTGAGGTGTCCAAATAGAAATTGCACCTCCCACAAGACCAGAGGTTCAGTAATCTCGATAGGCTTTTCATAGCATGTTGGCCACATATCTGAGTTCTTTGTGATAGAACCTGGAAGAAATTCTCAGAAGAAAAAAAAAACAAACAGGAGTGAAAACAAAATGCTCAGGAAAACCAGCCAATATAATGTGTGCACATTAAAAGATTAAAAGATAATGTGGGGTAGCTGCGTTTTGGATTGGAATATCTCTAATGTTGAGTTGTTGAGTGTATTTTATTCAATTAGCTTCCAGGTGCAACTTACCCTTTCAATTTTTAGATCTCTGATGGTCCAGTCTATTTGAATATCTTCCACCAATTTAGTAATTACTATATCCCCAAACACAGTCACTGGTTTATTGTCTTCTGGCCAGTACTGATGGCATCTTATCTGCAGGGAAGTGATTACTAATTAACAATCATTATGCTGTAAATTTTGCAGAAACTACATACAGGCTTTTCTATTATATAAAATGCTGTACATTGGTAACTTACCCGTCCTTTTTCAAAACACTGTGTAAGCATCACTAAAGTTTTTGCTCTAGTCTCCCACACCATCCTCCAGAAATCACCCACTGTCCCTGGTAACGGTCCCTGAGTTGCAATAAATTCATTTGGACATAAGTATCCCTAAGAAAAAGAAAATATTTAATACATAATAAGTGGCAAGGGAAAAAAGAGTTTGCATGTGACTCGTGCCATAAACGAAGCTATAAAGCCTAAGGCTAGAACCTTTTCAGATGTACTAAAGTAATCGGTGTAGGTCTGGCAGATGGCCATGGAAACCTAAGGATGTAAAGCATTTTTTCCACTGAATAGATCAGTCATGAACCAATGTTCTAATAAGGTTTGGGAAATGCAATCCTACTAGAAATTCTTTTAGCAAAGAAATTGAAGGGACATCAGGTCAGGAGTTGTCATTCATAAATATCTAAGTTGTCATATTAGTCTTAATGCAGATCCACTCACAAAGAAATTTATCAGGAGAAGGCCAGCAAAGTATAATTAAAATAGTGCTAAGGAGAAGCAGGGTGAAAGAAACAACTGAGAAGCAGTGTGAGGGCGAGTGCAAGCTACACGCAGCATTGATGACCTTGTCCTTCCAGTGATCCTCAAGAATCATAGAATAGAATCCTAAAATAATTCAGATTGGAAAATATTTTTAAGATCATTAAGTTAAACCATCCACCTAATACGAAAGGCTAAACCTAAGTGGCACGTTGAGGCTATTTCCTCAAGTTCTGTGACTTGTTACCTAAGAATAAACATCCACCCTCACTGCACCTTCCTTTCAGGTAGTTGTAGAGTGCAATGAGGTCTCCCCTTACCCTTTTCTGCTCCAGACTAAACAACCTTAGTTCTCTCATCTGCTCCTCAGATGTCTTGTTTTCTAGTCTTTTCACCAGCTTCATTGCTGTTCTCTGCACACACCTGAGCAACTTCATGTTCTTCTTATAGTGAGGGGCCCAAAACTGAACACAGCACTCTAGCTGCATTCCTACCAGTGCCAAGCAGAGAGGGACAATCACTTCCCTAGTCCTGCTGGCTATCCTATTTCTGATGCAAGCTAGGATGCCACTGGCCTTCCTGGACTCCTGGGCACACTACTGCCTCACATTCAGCTGGATGTTGACCAGCATCCACAGGTCCTTTTCCACTGGGCAACTTTCCAGCCACTCTTTCTCAAACCTATACTTCTGCATGGCGTTGTTAAGATACAAGTGCAGCACCTAGCACTGAAGTTTGTTGAATGTCGTGTGATTGGACATTACTATCCTAATTCTGCTGCACAGATCAACATTTCCATTGCTCTCAAACAGACCAACATTTCCAACCAACATGGTGTCACCTGCAAATACGCTGAGGGTGCACTCCATTCCTCATCAATGTAATTGGTAAATAAATTAAATAAAATTGTTCCCAACACCAAGCCCTGGAAAGTACCACTTGTGATCAGCTGCAATTTGGATTTAACTCCATTTACAACAACCCTTTGGGCTTGGATATCCAGCCATCATCTGTTCTAAAATGAAGTCGGAGCTTACTCAAAAAAAAGTGATCTCAGATAAAGGTCTTCAAGAAACTGTCTTTAGAGGCTGAGAATTTTTTTTTTTTTTTTTTTTTTTTTTCAGTGTTGGCTTCTGTAGTTTAGTTCTTTGATAAATTGAGGAAAGGAAGCTGAAAAATCTGTCTAAATGCTGAGCCGAGCATGGTTCTCATGGATCTGTTCTCTCAATCCAAACATATCCTGCAGAATATTTACAACAGCAGTAGCAGTGATAACAATAAGCTTATGGCTGTACAGCCAGCAGTCTGTGTTATCACATAGTCCACTTTATTGCTCAAAAAAATTGACACAGTGGTTTATAGTACCTTCGAAGCTCCTTATTGGAATTATAGCCCTATAATTCACAGCTGCCTCTTACTTATTCCATCTGTAATATACAGAACAGGTGGCAGTGGGAAACTATGTTAATCCTCCCTACTTTAAGAGTGAGCTGGGGAGCTGAAGTTCAGGTATGCAAAATCCATAGTTCAGTTACTGATTATTTCTTGTTTAAAAGTAAAAATTAAAATAGCATCAAATTTCCCATTTGTTAAAAGTATATACACAATCTCTCATTCCCCATCTTTATACATCTACACCTGTATAAAGAGGTAAGTAAATACACACACGTATATTTACACCTATGTGCATTTATATATTTACAAATCCACAAATACATAAAGTGAGAGCATACAAAGGGTAAAGATTTAGCCATGAGAAATGGGTCTATTTGCTGAAGAACACTGATCTAAACTGAGATGTTTATATGTAAAGACACAAAATCTCAGCAGTGTGTACTTTCTGCAGCTGGCATCTGCTACAGTTTTTTGGAAGTTGCTATTTGCATTGCCTGTTCTGTGGCATGTTTATGACAAGGAAGTTGAAGACAAGGCCAGGCTCATTCTGGTCTCCTCAGTGGCTGTGTGTTCCACAGCCAAGCACCCAAGTAACAAGGTGTCATGGCTCTTTCGTTCTGCTACTTGTCAGAATCAGGAAATTCCATACTTTTGCTAATGAGAAAGGAGGATGCTATTGAGATAAGACATCCATTCTCAGCTCTCTAGCTGATTCCCTGTGAACATCTCTTAGTCACCTGGAAATAACTATTTCTGCTTGCTGTTGTGTCAACTGTTTAGACTACCATCTGCATGTCTTGCTACATGTTTAAATTGCACTTTGTGCAAATCAAGTCTTGACCTTGCTTGAAACCACCATCCAGTGCTACAACAGAATAAATGCACAATTATGAGTTACACTTCGAGCATGAATAGAAGAAAAATGAATTAGACAAGACTGGAGACAGAAAAGTATAGATAAAGAATTTACTGAGAACACAACTAGAAAATGTGAGGCATAGGAAGAAAGTTGATAATGAGAAAGATATTTTAACTACAACACCATAGAAACAGTAGCTGCAGTAAATGAAATAATGCAGTTCTTTTTGCAAGTTATTTTTTGACTCTTGTACAAGAAAATAAAAATAGTGAAAATGTGAGAGACTCTCTACTTACAGATACATAGCTGGCATTAATGTAGTCAGATCCAGGAATACCAGCATCAGGCATCAGCTTTACTCTGTTGTTATTATCTATGATGGAAGTAAAATCTACTTAACTACAAGTTTAATTAAGAAAACACTGATTTAGGTAACAAATGTCCATGGATTACAAATGAATTAGACAGGAACATTATTATTAACATAACGATACTTGGCAATTTAAACAATTTCCATTATTTTATAGTCATCCTGGTTCCAACCAAATTTATATATATACATATATATATATATATATATATATATATATATATATATATATAAATGGTGAATAATCCAAAATCTAAAATGTGATGTGAGTATGGGAGAATCCTCTACCTAAAAGTAGCCCATGTTCTTTAAGCCATCCTGTTCTGGCAAAGGCATCCTCCATACAAGTCAGACAGAAGAATCAGGGAACTGCCAGTCTTTCCATCATATGAAAGATTCAAGCCAGACCCTGGCGATTTCAAAACTTTTTTTACATAAGGCAAGCTCATCAATTACAGAGAAGTTTGTTTCAAAGAAGACTAAACGGCAAGTGATTGAGAGTTTCTGATTTGGGCCCGCAGTGTACATTCAGAAATGATGAAAAACAGGAAAGATGTGATGTGTGAATAAGTAACTGCTGAAACATTCCAAATTTTGAATTTTTATTTAAAAAAATCAGAATAAAAAGTTAAAAACTTTTGAAACTCATCAGTTTATATTTTACTGTGTCATGAATATCAATCTTTAGTGACTGTAATTTAGAACTCATCTTGAATAAGGCAGTGGATAGGAGGAACAGCTGTTGTGAAAAGTTAATAGCACAGAATGTAGCATTATTAACCAAGGAATGCCATGCTCCTCATCTCACATCACAGCTAATGCTTAAAATAATAATGACATTTCTTGTCTTATTAACTGAAAAATGAAGCAGTGTTGAGTACAGAGAGACAGACTCCTGTCTCTTGTGATAAAATCTAGCCTTGGCTTTTAAGTTATCCTACAGTCACTCTGATCTTCTACCAAACCTCTGCAGCACATTTACACATATCCACAAGAAAGCAAACCCAAGCTCCTGTGGTAGCTGAATGCACAAACATGTGGATTTTATAGTTAAAAAAAATAACTTCTCACTAAAGGGAAAAAAAACAGGAAGAATGTTAAAGAGTTTGCTACAAGGGTTGAATTACAAAGCTAAGAAACTGCTGAAGCTATAGTTTCTTGCACCTGCATGTTAAAGCTTGCGAGAGCAAGTTGGAAGGTACTTGCAAATAAAGCTGTCTTTAAAAACAAAACAGTGGAAAGACCGACAAAATTATTTCATAATGAAGATATGATTGTATGATCAAACAAAAACACAGTTGTGTTCAAAATATTTGCTGCACTATCGAAGGCAAAGAACAAAATGGAGGAGTTATTTATTAAACACACATACATGGCTTAATGTTTGGGAAACGATTCTTAGACCTGTTCCAAGGCAGATCAGCATCAGTTGAAGCAAGGTCTTCAAGAAACTTAGGAAGTTCCTATAAAGGAAAAAAAAAATTCTTAATGCACCTTTGACTTTTGCCTGAAGTAAATATGAGGAATTGATAGTATTTAGTTGTTTCTCCTGAAATAACCACTCAAGTAAGAGGGAGAATTCTGTAGTTCTGTAACACGTAACATCTTTAGTTCTGTAACATGTTGCACTGCACTGTCAGCACTACTTACACGAGCCACAATAGACGAAGAACTGCAAGAAATGCTGTCAAGTTGAACAATTAAAGCTTACGTGAACATTCACCTTAGCGAGTCTGGATAAAGTCAGCTTACCACCTTTTGTGCTTCTTTTCTGTCTCTCCATGAACTCACATACATGATAACCATGCCTTACTGACTCAGTCTTATTTTTGAATGATGTATCTTCCTGATTCCTGTAGCTTGGGAGAGCTTTTGCCACAGCACGAGAACTGATGAGGATTTAATTGAGACAACTGGCAATTAGTTATTATTCACAGGCCTGACTATGAAAAGGGTGGGAAGAGTTATTTTTGGTTGTGTCATAGTTTCATAAGCGGTCATTAGTTCTGTTACTAAGGGCAAAAATGAATAAATCGCTCACACTGAGGAATTTATTTGATGGGAGTGTTTCTGTACATAGATATGACCAATTTCCAAAGCTGAATAAAAGAGAGGAGGGACATTTTCATGACTTGTTAATACAGAAAATATGTTGGTTGCTCCAAAAGTAATGTCTCCTGTTTATTTCTATTGAAACTACAAAGAACACAAGACTATTTGATACAGCAAATTCTCAGCTACAAAACACTATTTCTGAACAAAGCCACCACCATTAGCTCTGCGTTTTCCATAGCAATGATCAAGAGCCTGCATAGCGTGCTTGTAAAAATCTGCACCAGTAGAAGTGCCCCACTGCTGCTGTCGTCACTGCTGAAAGGCACCACTCACTGCCTCACTGTGCTCACATCCACTGCTTGGTCTCCAGAAACATTCAGCACAGATAATGATAATACATGATAATATCATAGGTAATGAAAAATGGAAAAAACAGATTTTTTTTTATTCTATGATTGTTTCTTTCATTGTTAATTCAAATATTTCATCGGTATTATTCGGTGTCTTCAGATATTAAGAATAAGTTAATATAAGCATTATCAAAATTGAATAATTTAAAAATAGATAGAATGAACCAAATCAATGATTAATAAAATTTGTTATCTTATCTCTTACAATGGATAATGCCTGGTATAAAAGTGAGCTCAAAACCATTGAACTGTGAGCAATATTATCCCATGAGAAAGTTGTTTCTTTCACTAGTTGATAAAAAAGCCCACGCCCTGAGGCATGAGGACTATTTCACTTCTATAATTATATCCTCAATGATATAACTGCAAGTGCTTCTAAACACATGATGAAAGCAAAGTACTTTCAGACAAGAGACCTGACTTCTCTTCCTGATGTATTTCCATGGGGAAAGAATTAGAGAAAGAACTGCAGAGAGTAACTAGATGCTCATTTCCCTTTGAAAATTTACAAGGGACTAGATCCCAAACATCCTTCAAAGTCTCTCTATCTATGTTTTCACAGAATGGTTGAGACTGAAAGGAACTTCTGGAGATCATCTAGTCCAATCTTCTTGCTCTGGCAATGTTCCCTAGAGCATGTTACACAGGATTGTGTCCAGATAGCTTTTTAGTATCTCCAGCGAAGGAGACTCTGGGCCACGTGTTCCAGTGCTTAAAAAAGAAGTCTTTTCTCATGTTCAGATGGGACTTCCTATGTTTCAGTTTGTGCCTCTTGCCTCCTGTCTTGGCACTAGGCACCGCTGAGAAGAGCCTGGCCATGTCCTCTTGATATCCTCCCCTCAGGTACTTACATGATCAGATCCCCCTGAGCCTTCTCATCTTGAAGTTGAACAAGCAGTTCCTCATATGAGAGAAGATTCAGTCCCTTCATCATTTTAGTTGCTTTTCACTGCTCTCACTCCAGGAGATCCATGTTCCTTTTCTACCAAGGATCCAAAAATTGCAGAGTACTTCACATCTGCCCTCACCAGGGCTGAGTAGAAAAGAAAACTCATCTCTTTTAGCCTGCTATCAATGTTAGTCCTAGTGCAACCCAGGATTCCTTCTTGGCCACAAAGGCACACTGCTGACTCATGGCCAAACAGCCACCAGGCCACCAGGACCCCACGTCCTTCTCCACAGATTTGCTTTCCAAGAAGATCAGCCCCTAACCTGTATGGTGTACGCATTTATTCCTCTCCAGGTGCAGGACCCTGCTAAAGCCTTTGTTGAATTTCAAGAAGTTTGCCTCTGCTCATCTCTCTAGCCTGTCGAGATCCTTCTGAATGGCAGCACAGCACTCTGTGATATCAGCCACTCCTCATCAAGTCATTGACAAATAAGTTAAACATTACTGACCCCTGACTAATATTGCGATTTACAGGCCTTCAACTAGACTCTGTGGTACAAGTCACAATCCTCCGAGACCTATCATTCAGGCAGTTCTCAGTCTACCTCACCATCCATTCATGCAGTCAGCACTTTCTGAGCTTGCCAATGAAAAAAAGTCTATGATTTTGCCCATTTGCCCATAAATGAAAGTTGTGGGTTTAAAATCTTATAAAGCACCGCTTACATTAACTTTATATCCTTGTGTTAAGCAACTAAACAACATGATTAATAGACTTGAAATAAAAACAAAATTAAATATTTAGATCTTTAATACACTATAGAAAAATATGTTTCTCATTGCTTTAAAGCACTCCTTGCTTTAAAATCTTGTCAACCTCTTAAAATGAATCAACCTCTGCCATACTCAAAGCAAATTTCTTCTATCTTTGAGCTGCCTCTACCTTTAGTCGCAGTAATCCCTTAAAGAACTAAATCCCCAGCCCTATGACTAAACATAGAGAAAGATCCCTGTTCTCAGAGCAGAGTGACTTCGTGAATTTCTATCAGGATTTGATAAGAACAGTAAAACACTCCTAAGGATGGAGCTGCCAAAATTCCTCATTCAGAAAGCTGAAAGTCTCTCAGAATATTTGTCCTCGAATTTTCCATTAAAGAGCAAAATCGATTATATGTCTATAGTATTTTTCAGGTATTTTAAGGGCTGTGAGATTCCGTACCAAGTGCACATCATGTGAACTGTTACTTGCCTCATCTGCCTCACTTCTCTGAGTCTTAGCTTGCTAGTAACTAGTACAGAAGTCATATTGCTGTACTGAACTCTGTAGAAAAAAGAAAAACAGAATCAGAGTACACCGCTTTTGTAATGATGCTTCCACATCTGAGTAAGTGCTTAAATGCCTTATACCAATTTTCTGCATCGGTATGGATTTCACTCTATGATTTTTTTTTCAGAATTGGGGAAAGACTATTAGGATTCCCAGGTGCAAAATCAGTTTGTTACATAAATCATATTTCTCTGTGGACTCATAAAGCTTTTAAATAATTTATATGAACTTTGTTTAGTGTACTTTTATGGTACTTTTGTGGTGACATTCAAAGGCATTTCACCTTTTAATTTGTGAAGAGACTTTATCATAAAACAGTTTTAGAAGTATTTCTGCCTCAGATATTGAGAGATATGTAAATCCTCTGGAAAGCTGGAAGACTGAATATTAGCCAGGTGGTGCCACCAGTTACTGTGGCTCTGTATGATTTCTTTAAACTTGCCTTTTCTGATAAGATATGGAACTAGATCCATTCTCAGGTCTGTATTGCTAATCATTATGTTACACATAGGCCATGTTAATATGTGGTCTAAGGTTGATCCCCAGAGATCTCTAGGCACAGCATCTAGGTCTAGTAAATTAGATGTGCCCAAGAATGTCCCAGGATTCCAAGACTAAGTGAAAGGAAGAGAGCTACTTCACACTGGCAAAACTCTAAAACAGGTTTGTTGTCCATCATCTGCCCATTGGAAATGATCTCTAGACTATTTTACCTACCAAAACATACCTTGGAATAGTCCAGGAGGACTGCTTTCTGAAACAGATCAAATTTAATGCAGAGAATATACTAATGGTTTATTGGCGTAAATTATCATATGATCACATCCACTTCCTGATATGCTTGAAATTACTAGTAGACAGCTAGCCAGAGAACCCAAGCAAGCTCAGCACCAGGCTATGTGCTTTAAATATAATGGCGCATGGGTTTAGAGCCTGAGCTACACACACTGTAGGAGCCTTGAGTCATTTATGCCAAACTAAAGCCTTGCTTTCAGATGGAAAACAAAGCAGGTCCTGGAGTCTGTTTGCTTGCTGTGTGCATTGTCTGTTTGCTTCTTTGCATTACAATTTCTGATGTCATTTCACGTGCATTGTCAATCCTATTATTAATCTGATAAGAAAGTTACTGTGCATTCTTTAGATATAATCACAGTCAGACGCTGCAGTTCTGCTTACCCTTGAACCAGCCATCTGGGAAGGCATTGCTACACTTTGAAACACGGCAGTTGAAGTTCAGAGAGAAATAAAATGGAAGTCCAAATGTCAAATGAATCTGCTGGCTGTAAGTTGACTATACGGCTTAGTTATATAAAGATTCAGCTACTTGTATTTGATGACATTTCAAATGGATTTCAAATGGACATTTCTATTTGATAAAACACTTGTCTACTTTAATTTTTAAGGTATTGCAATACTGTAAGGCTTACCCTAATGTAGGTCACACCTAAAAAAATTAATCTTGGAAGCTTTCCAGTGATGAATATGTGAAAATATTATTGCTAGTAAAACTTTTCATCTGTTCAGTCATGCATAATGAAACTATAATCACTCTTGTTCAAGTGAAATAACAGTTCCATCCTTGGAAGAAAAAGTTCTCCTTACTTTATTGCTCAGAGAATTTTATGGTGCTTTTTATTATTAAACCCAGACCAATTTTACCTAAGGAGCGTAACAAAAAAAGCTGTAGGAAATGCCATTAATCTTTTCACACTTTTGTTGGTTTTCCCTCAGAGACTGAAATATTATAATCTGGCAGAAGAAAAGCCAATTGTTGATTGGCTTTTTGCTAATCCAAATGGTAAGAAATGCATGGCAAATCTATAAATCCAAAACAATAAAGTTACTGGAGACTGACAAATTACTTTTGTGAGTGCAAATGACTGTATGTGTTACAAATGATGTTGATGATGATAAAAATTCTGAAATAACAAGGAGAGAAGATATCGTTGAGAAAAAAGATCCGATAGCCGTAAAAAATGCTATTTCATGAAAATGGTGAAAACTCCGGAGGTTTGTATTTGAAAGTATATATACTTCATATGTATGTGATGTATATTTTGAAAGCTGGTCTCTTTTCAAAAGGAAACACAAGCTTGCTGAGTTTGTATACTAAGACAAAAAGATGGAGGCTGCTCTCAAAAGTATGACACATATGACCTATTAGTTGTAAAGGAGAGAAAAGCAAAATTGTGCATAAAATTTTAACTGTCTATTCTGAAACCCATGAAAGAAAAACATTTTTAAATTGCATGGCAGTATAACTGTGCCCTGAACATTTTACAAAATAAATGCCAGCTGTGTTTTTGGGGTCATCACCATTCAGGAAAATGAACATCTCTAGAACTGTTATAATACCTGTATGTATGTAGAAATCTCCTACATAAACCACTCTCAATTAAACTATATATGCATCACTACATACGCAAAAACATAACTACTGTGTTCCTGCAAAGACTGAAATCTAAAGATCATTCACTGCTGACACTTTGGTGAATAATTCTGATCAGGATGCAGTGTAGACTGCAGAATCCAAATCAGGTAATATTACTTTTTAAACAGCCAACCTGGTAATTGTGTATTGATTATCAAGGCCAGAGTACTTCACGGCATTGCCTGCTTAAAATGGACATGAAATGTGACACATGAAACAACTGAAGGTCTTGCGATGTTGTGACAACTGCTAGCAACATACCGAAAATTCTTCCTGAAACTTTAGGTTGTTGTTTGTACAAAGCTCTTCAACATGTTGTAGGAAGGATTTCTTGCTTATTGGCCTGAAAGTAAGGACAGAAGAATTAGAGACCTACAGGTGGTTTCTTTATCATTCTTTTAATTCTTATTTTACTGCAGCTTCATAGTAAGTTATTCCAGTTCAGCAGCAACAGATATTTATATGAAGAAAATGATAAGCTGCTTACAGCTCACTTATTTGGTCTGCTTTCAGTTGCTGCAAATAGAAGTATTTTTTTTCCTTCTGTTGTTTCCCCTCACCAAATCTTTCATTTGCAAATGGTAACAGTACTGCTGGGTAGGATTTTTTTTTATAGGTAATAGCATTCCAAGGCAAGGTTTTGGCATTAATGGAAGTTTGTAAAGTAACCATTGCATTCTAAAGTACATAATACTTCTTTGTTGCACCGAAAACATTTTATACATTGCAAGGTTTTAGACATATAAAATATTGCAGTGACCTCATTCTCATAATGACATGGTTTTTAAACCCTGAGGAGTTTAAATATCCCTGTATTACTTCTCAAGCTAAAACACAGACATGCAGGCTTCACCCCAGAGAGAGAGAAAGCATTTCTCCAGTTACCATGCAATTAGTCATGCTTTTATGATTTATACGCAGCTTGGAGGGTTTTTTTCCTAATAAACACAGAAGAAGGAACCACACATTGAGACTCACGAATGGCTACTAAATAAAAAAAACTTTAATCTACTTACTTGATGGATTTTCTATAACTAAGTAACCTGCAACAGAGATTTTTGTTAAATGTGGCAGGGTGTGAGTTAACCAATATTGTGCATGTTTCTAGGTTTCAGATGAACTATTCAAGTAAGTAAAGAACCCTATTCATTTCTCTCATGGATTCCATCATGTCAGTTGTCTTGGGTGCTTAGTTTTTATCTCAAGTACTGGCAAATATTGAAGGTACAGTTTCTATCATTCTGTTCAGATCATTTTACAATATTCTGGGCTCATATGGGCCTGGGAAATCCATACCTCCAGCATACCACTTCATATACATTGACAGACTTCATTTTTTACACCATGTGCTCAATGCCATTCTTCTGATGACCATTTCAGATCATAAGGATAAGAGTCATCTGATTCTCTCTTTCAAACTGATAGCAAATAGTGGCTTCCTGCACTGCAGTTTGGTCATTAAATAATAGAAATTATATCAGTGCTGCACATAAGCAACCTGAATACAGTGCTTCAGTGCTGAAGCTACCTAGATCCAACAGCAAAGAACACAGAGACAAGCAGCACCATTAACACAATCGTACTCAATTGTTCCCTCCTTTACTCTCACTCAAAACAGAGAAGTAAAGCACTGAAAAAGGGCTATGTATGTACTCTCCATTCTTTAATATTACTAACAGATGATAGTTTTATAGGTGCAGTCATAAACTTTAAGAAGCTCTAAACAATTTAAAGAAGTAAGACACCTGCACTTTGACACTTGCCTTTGAATATTTAAGTGAAGAATTTGATTGTAAGGATAACTGAATTCTCACACTTCCATTGGTAGCAAGCATATTGCATATTGCAATGGCTTGGCAGAAAATAAGACTTTAGCAAAGATGTTGGCTTTTTTGATTAAGAATCTTCAGAAGGAATGAAGTTTGTATCCCAAGTACTGATTTAAAGGAGACGTCAATGCTCAGCTTCAGCATCCTCAGGATTCAAACCCAACATTTCTTACAAGTCTCTTGAGAATGAAATACACAGTAATAATCTTACAGTATTTCATCAATGAAAAATACTCATCTACCTGTAATCTCATTATCCACAGTTCTTTTTTTTTTTTTTTTTTTGTATAAAGCCTAAAAATTTTGATATCACTAGATCTTGATGAGAACAATTAAGAATCAAACTATTTCATCTGAACAATTCCAGATTCCCATTTGTCTGACTTTGAAACTAGGGAAGAAAAACATTCTCTAAGATAAAGAATGCTTTATTGCCTTAAATCTGATTTTCTTTTAAAACAGTGTATTGTTTCATGTGTGGGATTTTTTTTTGAAGTCTATCAAAAATCTGAATCCCACTCAGATTACTTATGATAGAGCTAGAAAGAAGCCATTTATTTGTGTTGGCAGTGGTAACTGAAGACCATATTGTCACACAGACTCAGCTTTCTTTCTGGGTCAATCATCTGAAATCCACAGGGAATTAAAACTTTGTCCAAATGGAAAACAACAGAAATGAGCAAGTGGGTAAAAGGCTTAACTCATAAGCACCACTGACACTTCCTAAGAACAACAGACGAGCTAATTCTTTAGCAAGTTAATTGAAAGCAATATTGAGCTTAACCCTTCCTGAATGTTAAAGGCCTCGGGAAAGAGAACACATGGTCATTTCTTCCATTGTACCAGGACAAGCAGTCATAAACCCTGTTCTCCTGGGATACAAAGCTGAGGTAGCTTATAAGTGATAGCTGATTACTAAAGAGAAATTCATTGCAAGAAAAGTTAATGCAGGAGCCATGCCTGTCTCCATTCAAAGAAAGAAGAAACACGCTGGTCTGGAGAAAGTAATGTGTGTGCAAAAGTGCTACTTTGATGACAGACACTTACTGAATGCAAAAAATACAGGAAAGGAGAGAACGGGAAAAAATTTTATACACAATTCTTTTCTATAAAAATATTTGTTTGCAAGCATTACAGTGTCTGCAATTAAAAAATATTTCTTCTAAATCTGTGCCCATCTGCTTGACAAGCTGTTTAATTTGTTGAAAGTATTCACCACAAGATAAAATTTTTCATGGAAAGATTTTAAGAAAAGGATATCTATGGCTTTGCCCCTGCTGCAGAAGCCACCATGAAAGCAGGGTGTCAGAGAAGTTCTCTCCCAGCCAAGCACCTCAAACAGGGAAGAGTTACTTGTCTCTAGCCACGTCTGGTGGGCCCTGAAAATCTGTTGACAGAATCCACTCACAGGAGATAAGTATCTGCTTTGAAAAATGGACTGGTAAAAATTATGGACAAGATACAAAGAGAGGACCCAAGTATATAAATATTTAGTACACTTAATGAATCAATGTTTAATCCAGCCTAGATGGGCTATATCTCTGTTGAAGAAGAGTTGGATTATTTATTTAGTTATTTAGTTAGTTATTGCCTTTCTCATACAATCTCCACCATCACTGAGATCAATGCATTTCCCAAAAATCCAAAATCAGTATTTCAGATTCATACAGAAGTAGATCTAATTTTCCACTGAACTCAATAGAATGTAATTCCTTGAAGGCACTCTGAAGCTACCTATGATTAATGAATTTCCCAACAAAGACTTGCTGAGAGATGGTGCATATTAGCCACTACTGGTCATTTTCAGACAGTGAAAATTTGTAAGGGCAGTTGTTGTGGTTTTTTTTAATTTTGTTTATTTTCTGATGATCAGAATATCACAATAGGTCAAGATATTCTAAACAAATATTAGAAAATGTTTGAAGAGACAATGTATGTTTTCGTGGAACAGTCTGGAGTGTCTTGATTCTGTGAATGAACTGTCAGCCTTTCATGCCTTTATTGATTTGACATGATGTATATTGTACTAGTTAAGAAATGACAAAACACTTAGAGTCCAAAGCATCTCCTTCAAAAGAGCCCTGAAAGGGATGATTCATAGGTACATAAAAAGTTTATACTGCTCTTTTATCATCTAAGATTGCTAAAAAAAGTCTGAATCACCCCTTCAGAGTAGAACACTTGGACAATTAAAACTAGATGTCAGGTGACTTAGTAGAGTTAAAAAAAAAAAATACAAGCAAGCCAGTCTGAAAAATAAATCTGTCCATCTGTGTTTTCCTTATAAACTTACAAGATGCCACGAATCGAAGCTGACATTCTACAACGCAGCAAGCTTTCAAACAGCTGAGATAGCTACCTAAACATAGCCAGAATGTGCTTATGCATATGTTGTAATGCACAGTTCCATTCCAGACGCATGGGAACTTAGAGAAGGTTATGTTGCAGTCAGCAGCATGTAATAGAATAATTTATCATGCTGACATGGAACTGCCTTAACCACACATCGTGAGAATGATAAAGAACACATGAACTGAAACTGTGATTGACTTCCACATGGTTATTCTCTGAATGCAACAGGTACAAAAATTCTGTGCACTGTGGAAGTCTGAAAACGCATAGCAAAAACAGTTTAGACGCTGGGTTTTGCAGTAAGCCTCCCTGGTGCATATTGCTTGCTTCTGCAAACTTCTTGGAATAACTCATCACTACTGGGAAGGATTCATCTACGTGAAAGATAACCTAAGAGAGATAATTAAAATCTCTCCTTTGGCCACTGACATTACCAGAGCAGAATCCTACATGCACAGAAACATTCTTCAAATCTTAAAAACTCCTTAATTAACTGAAAAGTTTTGAGCAGATCAAGGATATCCCATCCCTCATGACTACATGTAATACAGTACATTTGCAGACTGCTGTTTGAAAAAATGATATGAATATTGTCCTAGGGAACTCACAGTTCATACCTACATTTCAAACTTCCACAATTTATGAATGTTCAGCAAAGGGCCTGGGCAAGAAGCCTACTGTAGCTCCAGCAAAGCTACTGTTTGAAGAACAATAATTCAGAATTTAAGAGCCACATCCTGTAGCTTACAGAATGGCTGAAGAGCAGTCTCCAGTTTAGATCTTACTGGTGTGGGGAAGGAAGGAAGAGTAGAAAAGAGACTGGATGAAGTAACAAACTCCAAAGCAAAATTTGAAACTGACTCACTAAAATAAAGGCTGACGTAACTGAACTGCTGAAGCACTGTATGTACAGTAAAGGTCTTGCTGTGCATAAATCACATAATGAAGTGTGACATATTATAGTTTGCAATAAGTCTGTAGAGTTTGAGACTGTACAAATCCAAACTTCAGGTAATTTAGACTGAAAAGTGGCACAAAGGCACTCCTCAAACTGACAAATGATTTGGTCACATATATATGCTGCTGTGATTGCAATCACTTGGTTAGAAAATATCTCTAGTATAAGTGAGTAAAAAACGCAGTTGGGAAAAAAAATCTTCTCTTAAATACAGCCTTAACCACCAGAGGAAAGAAACTTAGTTCTTCCTCTGAAGAAGAAATATTTTTTCTACCACACTTGCATTACATTTATTTCAAGGATAAACTATATATATAAACTATATATATAAATATAAAACTATATTTATAAACTATATAAACTATATGCTAATATTAATACAATTTGTGTTTGAATGTAAAAATTGCCCTGATTTAATTCAAAATTGTTGTGGTTTATTAACACTAGGGACTAAAAATAAACAGGATATCATAATGACAAATATTACTGTCTGTCCTTACTATAGCTGCAAAGATTGACATTTAATTTTGATTAACAGTATCATTCAATATAGCATGGTAGCACACAGGTTAAGAGAACAGAATGGAAAACACACCGTGTTGCTTCAGTAATACAATAACTTACTGGATGACAAATATCTCCTTGCGTCTAAAGAAAAATGAAGAGTATCTGGAAGTAAAACCCATCAACACTTTAGTATATAAACAAAATTAGTACTATTCTTATTTCAGGTAACAGCTTGGAAACAATTGCCATTTTGAGGATCATTTATATAAGTTACAGATAATGTGCTGCATTAATAATAATTCAGTCTCTAGAGAATGTAATCCACTGCTATTAGCAGGTACAAACAATGCTATCTGAATGACATCTGCCCAACACAGAACATACCACATCCATTATGCTGATGATTTCCAGACAATTCATAGTATGTTTTCTCATCTGTTACAACCAGCCATGCCTGTGTGCACTATTTTGAACAGGTTTGTTCATGCAATCATCTTACTCTGTACCACACACATAGACATGTACACAGTCAAACAAAACAGGTCAACAGCTACAACCTTTCATCTTCCAGCTATTCCTAGTCTGCAACAGTAGGATGCCTGACTGCTAGGGCAAGACTGTTTTAGGCTTCTCATCTTTAAGGAGTCTGCCTACCACAGTGTTTCATCTGTGACACAGCAGGGAAAATACAGGTAGGTAAAGAATGTTCACCGAACATTTCTAACTCAGTTGGATGTCATTGATTGTTGGGAATCACTGTGATATTTAAGTGGTAAATAATATCCATATTTTTGACAGAAAGAGTAATCTGTTTTTCTTCTCATACATAAACATGACAAGAGATTTTCTAAATGACAGATTTATTCCTGAATTAGCTAACCAGAACTTCTAAGGGGTTTGACTTTCAAACTTTAATTTCAAAATACTTACTAAATTTTGTAATCTACACAAAACACCGGGCCATTAAAAATACTCGGAAATTCTGTGTTTAAAAATATGTAGTCCCTTTTTTTTTTTTCCAACATAATTAAACAGTGATTTGCACTTAGATCTTTATCTTGTTGTAAAAAGAGCTGAAGATTAAGTGATTTTCTAAAAGCTAGTGAGAAGTGTCTTGAGGATGGAGGTCATTCTTTGAAAAAGGATCTCAGTGACCTGTGTAAATAAGAACACCACAAACACTTCCAAACAAGCAAAGGTCAGAAAGGGGTCATGGCTACAGCCCCTTTGGACTAACTACTGTTTTTCCTAGAGAGCATGCTTACCGTGTAAATCTCTCATCCTTCAGCTCCAGGTCTGCCACTGTAATCAACTGATCCAGTTTGAACTTAGTGTCAATAATTTCAGCATCTCGTGGAGAGTATGTCCCTCCCTCTTTTTGCTTTTGCCTAATTCTAAACAGAAAATAATAGTGAATAATAAATATGCAAATTATTTGAAGGCAAATCTATACCAATACATTGATAAGACTGGCTAAAACTTTAAAACGGCTGCCAGAAATCCTTTCTTGCCTTTATTCTGCTCTTACTTCCAATTTAGTCAAATCAGCAGTTGTATTGTCTAAAACTTATGTGTAAAGAATCTAGCTTGCTTAATATTTCAGTTTTCTAACATAAATTATTCTGCAATGCCTGAATGCTGCAGCTGAGGAAGCAGAACTCATGGGACACGAGCAAGCTAACATAATTTATGCAGTATCCAGCCTGCTTCTTTATTTGGGCATTTGTTCACAATTCTGATCAAAGGTTGGCATCTCTTTCACACGTGAGACTTTAAAGTGTTTAACTGTAAAATTTATTAGTAAGATAGAAAATAGTGTTTATAGTATTTACTTCATATCAAGTTAACTGATTCTCAACAGAGCTGACAGTAAATAGGGTTAGCCATCATGGTAACTTCATTCAGCTTACATTCTGATCTGTTTCCTCATTCCTCATTTCAATGGAGAAGTGACACTGAAAGAGCAAGATAGACTTCTGCTGTGATTTACTCTCTGGAGAAGGTTGTTCTCCTCCTTCATCTATGGAAATTAGCACTGCTAGATTAAAGTTAAATTCTGTGAATCCCTCCCCAAGTTTTGAAAAAAAAGAAAAAGAAAAAAAGAAAATGAAAAAAAAAGAAAATGCAATACACTTGGACATGACAGATTAATTCAATTGAGAGGATCATTTCAACTCTTCACTAAAACAATATTGAGTGTTTACAAACAATAAATCTCACCTTGCAAAAGCATAGACTGCAGCCACCAGAAGAACAACTGAAAGTATACACAAAGTAACTGCAAGGATAACTTCCACAGATCTTCCTGACCGCCCTTCACCTGCAACAGAAAGAGGAAATCTAATATTTAATAGATGCATCAATTTTACGTTTCTAACAGGAGAGAATCAAGTATGGAGAAGTGACAGAATCTTTCCTCTCAAAACAACTGCATCTGTTTTGTGACAGTTGCAGAGCGGCTCAAAAGAGAAAACCATGAGAAAAACAAGAGCAATTTATTTTACAGTCCCTAAGCATTGCTGGTCTATTTAACACATACACTATATGTGTAACCATCCACTGGTGCTTTTCAGGTTTACCTGGTGAGCAAGTTAAGGTAGGTCTACACTGCACAAACATCATTTGGCTCATGACTAACGCTAGCCTGAACTGAGCTCCTGCTTTAGGCTCAGTGCAGCCAAGCACAGACACACTGTCCTAACAACTACGAATGATCAAGCTCCAAAAGTGGAAAAGGATCTCTGATACAGAAATCTGTCTCATAAAGCCCCATGTTTTTTCTGCTTCAATCATATTTAGCAGTAGTAAATTGCATAGACACAAGGTTTTCAGATCTGGTTTTCAGATCTGAATCTACTTATCGTATAAGTAGACTTAGAAAAAAAAAATAAGACAGAAAGTTGTCATAAATAATTCTGTGAAAATTCAAGTTATGGTTTTATCTACTAAAACCAAAGTGTCATTTTTTGTCCTATTACATTTTATCCTATTACATTTTACGCAAATAACACCTGCTTATTTATGATTTATACCACAGGAGACAGTGTCATAAGTTTTCAGTTTCAATAATGAAGTGTGTGAATTATATCTGCCTGACAATAAAGCATGATTTCTCTTTTTGTCATGATGATTTCAGTTTCCTGTTAGAAGGATGCCCAGGTATGTGTATCTGCCTGGATACAATCATACTCATTTCCAGCAGACTTGTTTTCTCTAATCAGGCATTAAGTCTTTCCCCCTCTGGCCAAGCTATTTGCTTCATTGGCTCAGAACTTCATTGGCTAATGAAACAATTTTTGTGCTGTATTTTCCAAAACATTCAGGGCCGGAGAAACAGTGCCAGATCCTTTCAGAATACTCAGGTAGTGAATTAGCACTTCTGCAGTATCAGATCACGTAACAAATTTCTAACGTGGATCAGATGGATAAGGGAGCTCATATCACAGAAGCTGAATGCCAAATGAAAAATTTGTGCCCACTAAAATTCTTCTGGGTACTAATCCAGTTGTCTTGGTTCCCTTTTCAGAACACTGGGGCTAGAGCTTAGCTACATAAGTTTTGGCTTACCAATGTATTAAAAGAACTTACAGACCTTACTGCAATCTGCTAAGAGAATTTTCATTTTTCAATAGCTGTACCAGTACATGCAACAGAGAGGGAAATGGCACAAACAATACAGCTTTTGATAATTCACCCTGTCAAGATGAGCTATTCTAGCAAAATGCTATTAACATTGTTATGACTGAATCTCTACTAAAAGAACTTTGTTAATATTTCTTTTTCAGTTAACAGCCCAGGCTGAGCCTCTTAACATCCTGAAAAGGACATACGAGGGAATGGACGCGTTTCCTCACGAGGCAACAACCATTCTGGTTAAGCGAGCTCTAACAAAAATAAACACAATTTACTACAGGGAATCCAGTCTACTAAAAAGCAGCATGGAATAGTCTGATTTCTCGGAAACAAAAGAAACAAGTGACACTTTCCTTACCTAAAGTTTTGACAGGGTCAGAATAGTCAGAATCTGTAAACTGTCCTTTAACATTAGTTGCTCTGAACTTGAATCTGTAAAATAAAACAAAGAAAGCTAATTAAATTAAAATCTGTGTTCCTTTCCTTAAAAAATATTCAATTTAGAAGCTAAACACTATTTTAAAGTTTTAGTGTAATATACTCTGCTATCCTTATCTTCCTGCAAAAGTGACATCATGACATGTCAATGACTTGGTGTCAATGTGTATAGCATACAATCAAATTATAGGAAGTAGGTTACTTATCTTGAATTTGGTCTTAATTTGGGAACTCAATATCCATCTTTTGTTACCCTAAAACTTTTTTTCTAATTGTCTTCCATACTTACTCTTCAGACAAATAATATAAAGGTAAGAGTGACAACAACCATTTCAAGCTCCACGTCTCCTAATTGAACTATATGTTTTGTACGTTTGTATAAATGTATGTTCCACTTAAATCTTCCTCTTGGACAAGTCTAGAGATAAATGTACTTACAGGTACTGCTTTCTTGGTTTCAGTGGACCATTACATATTTTGTCTTGACTGCCTGGTATCATACATGTAGTATCAGCACCTATAACATATATTTCTTCTTTACCACTCATATCTTCCTTTCCTTCTACACATGGCGGATTCGGAAAGCCTTCATTTGTAAAATATGGCCTTGGTCTATTGAAGTATGCATCATGCCACTTCGTAACATTTCCATCATGCTGAGCTATTATCAAGAAAAGAAATAAAAAATAATTTACATTCTAACTAAAAGAAGTTAAACTAAACTTCTTAACTAAAGAAGTTAAATAGAAGTTAATGGGTTACTTTTAAGGGCTTAGTAAGCTATCAGTGACATTTATACAAGGAAAATTATAATCATGTTTGTACTTCAATCCAAATATTCTTTTTACCCCACCAACTATATCTTGGTGTTTTAAAGTAAGTCAGCTGAATCACAGCTAGAAAATTTCAGGGGCAGTCTCATACACAGGCTGTGTTGGTAGAAGATATAACTTGTATACAAGACATTTGACATTGAAACTGGATCTGGCCAGCAAAGAAAGAAAAAGTGTTTAAGTACAGTAGAAATTGTTTCATAAATGAAATAACTAATTTTACAGAAAGAGTCAGTATCCAGAAACTCAGATAGGAGAAAAATCCTCAAAACATTGCTTAACATGGTGTTTGCATATTTATCAGCTCAAGAGAACCTTCACAGCAATAGCCAGAAATTAAAAGTCTCTCAGGTTAGTGTCAAAATACATCATTCTGGAAAACGTGAGAAACTGTACCCACTTAACATGAATGCTTTACTGCCATGCTTTTAAGGCAGGCAAAACAAGGGATTTAAATACCTGGAATTTGTTCTTCTTAGGTAAAGTAAGCCTGACCATATGATGTCCAACCATGAAACTCCCACACACATTGGTAGGCAATTACTCAAGAGTATCACGAGACTGTTCACATGAGTAAATGTTCATCAGTCCATACAAGGGAATACACATTCTAACCCACAGTCTACAGAAGGGATTTACATAAATCCCTCTGCCCCCGTTATGAAATAGAAATATCAACCGCACATGACTGCATTCTTCGACAGGCAACACTGATAGCAACAGAAGAAAAACTTGCAAGAAAAAATCTTTCATATTTAATCAGTTTTCACAAAAGCCAAATGTATGTATTTATTCAAAGAAATGGGAAATTAAGAAAATAGAATGATAACAGTAGGGCTAGAATAATACAGGTGACCTCAAGCAACGTGGATGATTTTTCATTGGCAAGTGTTTTCAAAATCCAGCCCACAGGTATTGTGGAAGATATTTCGCTCATAATAATGTTGCCATAGCTAAACAGATTTTGTTAACTAACATGAAGTTTCTGACAATCCCTTCCCACATGAAAAACAGTTTTGTTTTTGGTCGGGGGGGCGAAGCAAACAAGCTGAAAAGAAAGAAATTCAAAAATCCTGAAATCAACTTTCAGGATTCTACCTCCAGCTTCCACAACAAGAACTTGTATCTTCTTGATAGGTCCATGATCATCACTGTAATAACATACTGGCATTCTGATCGTGATTGTTGTTGCTGTGACAAGTAAGGCCCCATTGGTATCATAAACAGGTGTTGGTTTCTTTTTAGGCCGTGGTGGTTCTGGTTTTAAACAAAGATATACCGCACAGTTTTGTTTTTGGTTCTTTTCAAAACAAGTTCAGACATGTAGCTGTGTTATGGATGATAAATAATCACCATATTTTAAGGGACAATTTCATGTCCTAACCATGTTTCAAGCCACTTAAAAATCTGTTCTGATAAATGACCTGCATATTAGTTTTTACTTAAAAAACAATAAAAAGTTTGAATCTTAGTTTTTCGGAAAAATTTCAGTCAATGACTGGATTTAATTCTAAGAATGTGATACATAGACACACCTCTGTGACATTGTTCTAAGCTGTTTGCTCATGGCAGCTAAAATACGGATGACAATGCTTATTTCACTGAGACTGCATGTGGTTTAGCATATGATCAGTGATAGAGAGCAAAACTGAGCACTGCAAGTCAAGCCTATCAGCTATGTATTCCTGTTCCTACCTCATGATGCCTCCGGAAATAGCTGAAGGCATGCAGCTGTGTAGTCACAGGTAAAACAGCACTATCTAAAGTATTTATAGAGATTTCAGGTAAATGACAATTTATGAGACATACCTTTGATATCCATGGTGATTTTCAATTGAATTTTTGGCCCCGCACCAGCACCGTTAATTGCATACACCTTAAAAAGAGAAATGTTATAATGAGTATTTGCACTAGCTTCAAATCTGTCAAATCTGTATCTTTCTGAAACAACAACGAATGCACACTTTGCTACAACTTACTTCTTATTTCTTTATAATCCTGAGTACAGTAACCCTTTGTTATTTGTAATCTAGCTCTTACAGAAGGAGAAAACCAAGCCCACTTAAAGAGTTACGTCACCACCTCTCATGTACTACTCTATGATTATATGATTGAACATAGGGAATTTAGTCATGGGACAAAGACTAATGGCTTTAAACTAAAAGAGGGTAAATTAAATTTGTATCAGAAGGAAATTCCTGTGAAGGTGGTGGTGAGGCACTGGAACAGGTTGTCCAGAGAAGCTGTGGATGCTCCATCCTTGTTGGCATCCAAGGCCATGTTGGATGGGGCCCTCGGCAGCTTGGTGTGGTGGGTGCAACTCTGCCCATGGCAGAGTTGGAACTGATGATCTTTAAGGTCTCTTCCAATCTAAACCATTCTATGATTCTACTACTCCTAAAGCACATACTCCTTGTAAGTTTTCCTTGCAGAACAAGACTTTTCATCTGAACTAAATGAGCAATGCAAGTGCTGGAATTAAGAGTGAAAGTTGGTCTTGTTTCATGCTTCACAAGTACATGAATCCCATTACTCCTCTCTTTCCTCTGATTTCACGCTCTTCACACCCCTATACATTCTGTATTAAAATCTTGCATTTGGCTTAGCTCTGTGTTCTTTAATTTCTCAATCATATCAGGGGAAAAACCCAAAGAAAAAGTGTTAATTCTTACGCTGACATTATAGGTATGTCCTCCTTTCAATCCTTCTATCATGGCAGTGACTGACTGATCTGTTTTATCAATGACACTAAGGTTGTGGATCCGGATAGCAGCAGGATCATCTTCATTGTACACCATAGCTTGATACACCTGAATATTCCCATTTGGTTCAGATGGCGGCACAAATGTCACTTGGAACTTTGTTACTTCATCAGGTATCTTCTGAAATGTTACGTTGTTAGGTGGGTCTTCAGGTACTGAAATAGACATTTCAGTCATCTAAGTAGAATCAGTTCACTACTCTGACTACTAGAGTAAAAATTGAAAAATTACAAATACTTTTGCCTATTGTATTATTTCATTGGTATTTTCTGTTTCCAGTAAAAACATCTCAACATTTTAACTGTGTATGTAAATATTTATAAAGAGAATTAAAAGTTAAATATGTAGTGAAATATTATTCTTGATGATAGCACTTAATGCTACAAATATTAAAAATGATTGCTAGATAATCCTCAGTAGTTTCTACTCACACAAGTTCCAATTTTCTACACAGAAAGCCTGAAGGCATCATTGTACTTTGAAATAAACAAATGTAAACAAATCCTTGCATGGGCTGACAAGCAAGAAGCAAGTGTTAGTGTAGAGTAGCCCTTCCTGAAAGCCCTGTCAACAGCTTGCTCCCTCTCAACATATAAGCAAGCTACCATGTTCCTATCTCTAACAAAAAACCTTTCCACTATCTGATGCCCAGACACTAGAAGGGAATCACAGTAGGTCAAACAAGTGTTTCAGCTTTTGTCCAGAAATATACCAGAAGCCAGCAACTACACAAACACAACATGCCCTTTTGCCAAAGACAGTTATTTATCAAACTTTTACTCCAGTAGTATATTGTCAAGACAGCGGAAATATAAATCATTTTCCCTATGTCCCTGTCTGAAAGAAAAGGCTGTAACATTCTTTCCCAGCAGCTGAATATTTACAGCTCTACCTGAGCAGACAAATCTGTAGTATGATCTCTAAATAGTGAAATCAAGTAACTGAAGGTAAACATATTCCCTCAGCCAGGATTTAGATACAGTTGTTAAATCTTCCAGTTTTTTTTAACCCTTAACAACAAATCCTAACTCAGGCTCCTCTGCAGTAAGTCTGTGTAACTTCCTCAGATACTCTGCTGTACATTAGACTGTGGAAACCAGATGAGATGAGATGATGGAAAAATTAACTCTTCTTCAGCGAGGTTACCGAACCTTCTAATGTATCACACTTCAACATGAAAGAAAGGGCTACAAAATAACGATAGCTCACAAGACAATCTCAGCTACCAATTAATTTAATCTTCATTCACTTTTCCACAGGAGAAGCAACTCAACACCAGCAAAGACATCAGATCTAGTACAATCAGAAACTGTGTATGTTAAATTAGGATTATATCTTCCCTGTGTACATCAGTCTTTATTTTCCTAAGCAAGTGTTGGCTACTTACTGTAATGTAAACGTTGGTGTTATGACTCCTCATATAGTTTCCTCAGACTCATCTGTCCACTTCTTTTTTTCTGAATAACTCAATAGTTTAGCAATTTTCTTTTTCCTTAATACCCACCTCCTTCTCCAAATTGTTTTGAATGCGTGGAAGATCTGACTCTAGTATGTATCCTTATAGACCTTCACTAGAAACCTCCTTCCATCCAGAATACACAAATTATGTATTCAGATAAGTACAGGTGCCATACACAGGAATTCACTTCATTTAAAGGTAAACCTCCGTATTTATTATCACCATCACTTTCTTGCTAATTGACATCTTCTAAACATGAAAGCAAAAATTACTGTGAGAACAAATGTGTATTAAGTGCACCCTGTGTTTAAAACTGCGGTTAATCAGATGAAGGAAAAAATGCAAACATTGATTCATACAAAGTAGAGAAAAATACAAACCTGCTTCAAAAGTGGAGACAATTACTGGAGAACTAGCTTTGCCTTCAATAGCTGCAGCATTAACATCCCCCGTAAAGGCAATGATTACTACAGAATACCTTGTAAATGCTTTTAAATCAGAAATTTCTAAGATTTTACCCTCATCATTCGTCCTCAGAAACTGGGCTTTATAATTTTCATTATCTACCTGTAAAACAAAATTTTAAAAAAGCAAGACTTCAAACAATCAACAGCAGGATATTTAAACACCACATTTAACTTTTATCTTCCTCATTTCCTAATCACCTACATAAGAGTTTACAAGTCTTCAGCTGAAAAGACTAAAAAGCTGCATAAGGAGCATACTTCCTTCCTACTCACTTCCTTGGCACTATAAGTAGAATGTGACTAGGAAATGGGCTTTTCATTTGCTTTGGCTTACAAGATAATTTGTATGAAAGTACAAATTTATATGAAAGTACAAATAAAAAACAATAACATAATTTACAGGAAAGGTCATAAGAGAAGAAGTGATTTGAAACGGGAACCAAACTAGGCAGAGATATAGAAAATGAGTAGTTATATAGCTGAAAGTGGTTTGAAATAGAAAAAGAAAAAAAGAATAAAATAAATAAATAAATAAAATTGGGTAGTAATTTATAATGTTAATATCATCACAGAGAAATTCCTCTTGGGATAATTAGTAGCAAAATATAATAGCAAAATTTTTTCTAAAATAGTGAAAACTGAGTGATTCTGTTACTAGAAGAACTGGAAAGTAGAAATAATTGGAGTTTAATCTAGAAAAGAGAGAATAGCAGAGGACAGCAGCAATTTCAAAATATAAAAATGATGTTTACTAAATTAAAGATAAAACATTGAAAATCCAATCAGAAATTACCTTTGCACTAAAAAAAAAGATTTGGATCTTTTTTTACAAAATCTTGCAACAATTTACCTAAATATATATATATATTTATATATATATATATAAAACTGAGACTGTAAGGTTTGTGAAAAACTGGGTCAATTTATAGGATTTTGCTGAGGAGTTTCCTCACTTCTAAGAGTGTGATAATGAATCATGCCAGGAGGATTCCAGGTACTCCTGTTCCTGTGTTAGACCAACAATATGGACCAGATTGTTTCTCAAGATCTGAATGTCTTAAGCAATCTGCAGCCCTGCAGAAAAATAATCTACAAAATCTATAAATCTATCTGCTTTACATCCAACAAATCACTTCTAATCTTAGCTGAAAAAAAAAAAGAGAAAAAGGAAAAATGGGGGCTTTTTTAGCATATGCCTATTTCTGTTGCTTCAGTTAATGATGTTTTCATTATTGTTTCTTTAGTATGTAATTTGAAAAGAGGATTAGGTAGCTGTACAGTAGTTTTCCCATTGGATGCAATCTGTATTAAACACAGCTGCTAAAACATTAGAACAGTTCTATCATACCTTTTATTTGACAGATACTCATCTATCCCCACTGAGAATTAACGTGAACTAAACTTTTTGATGGACTAAGCAGACATTCATTTCCTGGGATTGCCATCAAGAGTTGAAATACTTTTTCCTATCTGACTATCAAAAATCTGGCATATAATGTTTACACAAAAGCTAAAATATAATCACAACACTGCATCATTTTACCTATAGTTTTCCAAAAGCTGTATGGTTTGGTTGTATCTTCCTTACTTGTTTTCAGTAACATTTCATTCATGACTAACTCTAATTACAATAGCACGACAAACTAAAATATGACATTGATAAAATACACATAGGTCAGTTTTCTGATCTAAGTAAGTGCAAGAAACATCCTAGTAATTTTAAAACCATCTGAATGCATTCACTAATGAATTATAACTACCGACTTTTAGGAATAAAGATGATGGAGCAGGAATATAAAACTATTCTACCCTGTGAGCCTCAAAGATATTCAGTTGATAACTGAAATGAACAAGCTGTATGTACGGAATGTTTGTAGATTTTTGAGTTTTCACAAAAAAATTTGCACAGAGACAATAGGACATATACTCAAATGTTCATCACAAAAAGACTGTGACAGTTATGTTGGCCTTTGGGAAGGAACCTGTTTTTAAGTTTATTATGAATTCTGGTATACGCGTAGTTTATCTTAGTAAGAAATTTACTGTAACTTAGACTGTTCATATATTAATAACATGTTCATAGTGCAGAATCTGATGGCACCTTGTTTACAATGTAGAATTCAAGGAGGAATTGCTTAAATAAAATTGATTAAATAATGTGCACAAAACATTAAGCTTTCAAAATTGAATTTGAAGGCTTTATTAAAACCATCAAAATTAGTCTTTGTATTGATCCATTATGAGTATATTTAGTCAAAAAGTGTCAGGAAATTTTCACAAGGAAAAAAATCTTCTCTAACTTCAGTAAAAGAGGAATACAGATTGTAATGTAATTTCTTGTGACCTACCCAGCAGGCCAAGGCACTGTTCCTTCCCTGTTAGTTATTCCATTGTCTGCCTGCCTGTCCTTCTTTGTACTGCTGAGGTAAGTGTGTTCAGAACTGAACAGATTGCACTGTAAACAATGTAGAATGAATTTAGAGTGCACATTATTCTGCATCGTAACTTCACTGAGGAGTGTAAAAATACTTGGTATTTTTTACTGATCTCTTCAGAAATTTTAATTGCACAAAAAACTCATCATTAACATTTTAGCATATCCACAATCCTTATGACTAATTTAGAAAAACTGAAAATATATAGATAATGTTACTCATCCCAGAAAATTGAACTCACTTTATATTTATAGTCTTCAAATAGTTTGAAATACTCTTTCAATTTTTTTCCCCATTTCCTAGCAGGCTTATGCAGAATTTTTGAACTTGCAAACAGCAAATTTTCCAAGACAAGGTCTAGTGAACTGCTTCCATTTACACTGATAGCCTTATCTCTATAATTTCTGAACTAGGGATCCTATATCCTACTTAAAACTTCTCATATGCACAAACTTATAAAGTTCCGTATCTTGCCACAGGGCAGGAAATGACTTGAGGTTTATTAATGGCTGTTTTAAGTGTAGTATAGGATGAAAAGAGAAAGGCCACTAGAGCTTTTCTCTTATGTCAGGTTTTTTTTTTTTTTGCTTATAAAGATCAAGGAGAAAGAAGTGTTATTACTGTGCTACCAAAATATAGCTAATCTGATGAGTGGAAAATCTAGTATGGCTTTAAAATTTGCCCTCTGATGCACTGAGTAACTTTGTACAAGTCACATCCTTTTGCTAGGCTCTCCACTCTTTTGTAAAATTATGACAAAGAGCTTTTACTTCAGAGAGAAAAAAGACATTATCATTTTTACTGGTAAACAGCATCATTATTGTTTGAAGAAGGTACACCTCTGCAAAGCTCAGCTATTGCTTTGCAATATACAATCACTGCTAAACCTTTTTTTTCTGCAAGACCTCTTATTAGCACACATTATTTCACACCAACTAACGAATCTATTTCCCAGTAAGAAATGTATGAATGTGCAATCAAACCGTATGTGGAATTTATGTGAAAATGGACTCTTCAGTTATACTATTTTTCATTCCATTTTGCAAGTTTTTTAACTTCTATTAAAAACATCTTCTATGAGTTCTTACATCACCAAACATCTGTATTACTATCGAAAATAAAACAGAGTTGTCTTACTGAGGTAATGTCTATGAGATAGCACGTTGGGCCAGTAATGACAACAGGTTCACTCCAGCTGATATTGATACTGTGAGGAGAGGTAGCTAACACTGTCACGTTTTCTGGAGGACCATCTGGAGCTATAGAAAACATACGTATGTGAGTCACAGTTAAAGAAGTGCACAACAAATAGCCCATCATTTTTAACATAGAGATTATTTTCCAATTTCAAAATAATATTTTCACACATTTGCTACTATACACCGCTTAAATCATGACAACATTTTTCATTCTTTTCTGATAAAGCATGCACTGGGATTTGGAAACACAGCTCTTGTTGCAAGTACCATGGCATTTATAGAGTATTAAATATCGAGAATTTCTTCATAAATAGAAATTATAACCATTGTTTATATATTTATTAATTTATTACAGGTTAATTATATGTGTTTTGTAGGACACAAGCAAAAAATATATATAGCTCTTTACACAAATAGGCATGCCTAATATATGAAAGAGAATTGATGTCAAACTAATCATGCAAAGAATGAGAAATTACAAAAACACAAAGTCTTCTGCAAAAGATTCCAATAATGTTGGACAGTACCAGTACACTAATATTTTAGAGAAAAACAGAAGTTTTCTAAATTTCATTTTCATTTACTCTTAACATATTAAGAATCTCTAGAAAACACAGATTGAAAAGAAATAGGAGCTGTAAGCAGGTAAGAAGAATCACATTAAGAGTTTTGCGATTTCTTTTTTTCAATATAGTATGTGAATTAACCTAGTTATTTGTTTCTAAATACTATTATGTATGTTTCTATGTTTCTATTCATGAAATCATTTAAAAATATAGCAAGTGTCAGTAAGTAGTATTACTTCTACTTAATGTGTGTGGTAAATTTTGGGCAGCTAAATTTTAGAATAGAAGTGACAACAGATTTGTAGGTTATGTCAGAACTTTACTCCATGGTGCCTTTTTTTTTTTTTTTTTTCATGTACAACAACAACAAAAAAAGACAACTGTGACTCAGCTCACTGAACTATTATAGAAGGCACAACAGTTTTGCACATATTTCCTTGGCTTCATGGTACCTCTTTTTTTTTATCTACAACAAAAAAAATTGTGACTATGATTAACAAATATCAGTGAATAGTCTGTCAGAGAACTTGATGAGGAAAGTTGGAGTGTATACGAGGCTACCAAGCTTAGTAGCTCATAACATATTAGAAAATATGTTAGGAAAAGGAAAAATAGTATGGAATGAGAAATGTAACTATTGAAATTAGGTGTGATGCCTCATAAGAAGAGATTTTGCACCATGAAGGTGTATATTTTGCTCTGCAGTGGCAAAATAAAATAGGAAAAACAGGGAGTTGAGAAGTGCTGTGAAGAGTTAAAAATATTGGAAACCGGGTTTAGACTGGTGTGCTGCTGTTAGCAGGAATACAATATACTTTGTAGGCAGGATCAAATTTAGCCATTGGAAGTAGTCCTCAATAATAGTGAACAGGGTGGAACAACAGAATGAAGACTAATTGAATGAACTATGAAAGCACATGAGGGTAATGAAAGAGAGGAGCAAGTATTTTCCCCTACAGACTCAAATTAGAGCAAGTTAAGCTTATTTTCCATCTTCAGACAGAGACTTTCAGTTATTATGGCAGTGGTCCTGCCTTAACTCCAATGGAAATTTCTCAAAAATATTACAAAACAGTATATTCAGCTTCCCAAGTCTTGGTTTCCTTCCAAACTAACCAAGCTTCCAAAGACAGTTTTCCATTACTCTTCCACAACATTAATGAAGCATTGAATTTTTTTTGTTTCAGATGTAAATTTACATTAGAAAATGATTGTAGAGATAATTTTAAGCCTAACCTAACCTACAAATGATCCAATCTTAAGCTTTTATTTTATTTTCATATGTAGGTTCTATTTGATATATTTTTAGATCTAAGAAAATTCTAATTGAGTACATTGTTTTTAAGATGCTTATCCAAATTACATTACAATTTTAATACCCAGTTTACTTTCATTGTGAAAAGTTTAAAGACATCAACTGAAATATACCAAGATCTAGGAATGTTTTCTGAGATTAGAAAGGGAACGAGAAAATTAAGTATGTCTAAAATTTCTCATGTCTTATTAAAAAAATCTTTTTAAAAACTGTTGACTTCAGTGGGTAACTGCCATGTTCTGATTTAGGTTTGTTTGTGAAATTAATCTAGTCAATACGAGGCCATGATATCACTATACCCTTTCTCTTATAAATCACAGCAATTTACTCAGTAGAAATGACCTAGTCTTATTCTCTCATTCCCCTATAATCCAATCACTTCCTCTCACAAGCACTTTTCTCCTGGTTTTCACAATAATGCATTTTCTGTAACTAATAACCATCATTTCCTGATTATCATGCTTCTATCCTTGCAGAGGAATGTGAGTCTTATGGAGGTCAGGGTCATCTTTCCCATCCATCTGTGTCCTGATGCTAAGGCAACAGTTAAGTGTGTTAGCTTGAAGATAAGTCTGGATAGCCCATCATTTAGGATAATCCTCAAAAATAAGAAGGAATCGTCCAGTCTCCTAACAGAAATTCATGCTTGCCAGTTTGGCTAATCCCAATCCTTTTTCTTTTTCCCTCCAACAATTAAGTGTGACATTCAGTTATTTCATTTTACGATAACCTAGGTTACCAACATTTAAACAATTATATTTTGTACTAGGCCATAGTTACTCTCCAGTACTTAGTTGAGAGAGAATGAAAGGAGCATAGAAAACCAAGTTATCTGAGGCAAAATCTACCTGTATACAACAAAAGACATATAGAACAAAACCTTCTCACTATACACAAAAATTTCCTTAAGTATACCAAGCAACTGAATATCAGCAGGGATTGGGAAAGTAGGTGCTGAAAAGAGAAGCATAACTTTCTGCTCCATGCATCTTTATCCTATCCTTCATGGGACACTCTAACATCTGGGATTTTCCTTTGCATGTCAGTATATCCTGGCATTTGGAGACCTGGCAGTTTACCAAAAAAGCATTGCAGGATCTATGAGATCCAAAATCAGCTCAATGATTTCACTGCCCTTCATTTTCCAGATAATGCTGATCCTTCAGAATGATTTTTCCCTTAGAAGCAATGAATTTGGCCAGTCTTATCCTCCTTATAAATGCAAAGGTGAAGTTCAGGCTAAGCGCAGGTGTGAGGGAACAAAATTTCCTCAACTGTGGAAAACGTTTGTTGCCTTTTCCCTTACTGTGACACAGCATTGTGATCTTCTATACTGGTAACTACATAAATCTAAGCTGAAAATATTTCATCTTGCAAAGTAGATTTGGCTCTCAGGTAATCAATCAGCTAAGGTATTACAGTGCTATCAAAATACTTTATGAGACAGTAGGACAAATCCTGTGAGAATAATCCGCAAGACAGAAGTTTGAATAGTTTATCTGGTTCTGAGAAGTGAACCTTACTGATAACCTGTAACATTTTCCACAGAGCAGAACTGTAGCCTAATTCACTACAGAACATCTTCATGCAACTGAGTTGAATCTTAAAGAATTCCTTCGGCCTTAAGTTTAGCTTCATAATGAACAACTGAAATAAATAAATATAAGAGATTCTCATCTTAGTCACTGGATATTCAGAATTATTAGCTTTTGCTGCTGCAGTACAAGTGTAATATGCAGCACTTGAAAATGTAAAGATTATCTAGGGCTTCTGTTATGTATTTTTTGTTGTTGTTGATGAGATTTCTCTTTATGTTCTTGAAATTAAGTCTAACAATTTATTTGCTTAAATGCTGTAAATTCTTGAATATAAGAAATATAGGCCTGAGAGAAACAAAAACTTCAGAGCGGTAACTTCTGCCCTCAAACCTGAACACTCAACTCTCATTATTTTATGGGCTGAGTACTCTGAGTACTATTTTACATAGCATCTAAGCACCCTTAAGCCCTAGCAGACCTTGTATATTGGCTGGGTACCAGAAGGCTAATCCAGAGGATGCTTGGCCCAGTCAACATGAGAGAGAGGAGGGAAAACTACACCTGTTCAGTGGATGCACTCTGCGGGACTTCCCGGAGCACCCCCAAATCAGGGAGGTTCTTGGTGCTTCTGAAGCTGCCAGCTGTGACATGCTCTGTTTCTCATTTTCCTCTCCAGCCGATTGCCCCCAGGATAAAGGCCAGCATCCAGCCACAATATCTGGAATCCTGCCCATGCCTTTTGATTCTGGGGTGGTGTGTTTTATAGGCAGCCGATCACTCTACATGTCATCTTAGTGCACAGGAAATTTGTTGCTGCCCTGTTCCCCACCACAGACACAGAGCATGGGAAGGGACTGTGCAGTCCACTGAAGCTTTTCTGCTTCAACTTCTGTCTCTTCAGTAGGAGAGAGAAGAAGCTATTTCTTTCTTAAACCATACTGTTCCATACACTGTCTGGAGAGGAAATCTTCAAGATGATACTTGAGGTGATGATACGTGTTTTGGTTTTCTGCTTCTCCGTTCAGTTTAAATATCTAATTTTCTGAAACTTGACTACAATGTATCAAGGTATTTGCATATCTCAGCAGCTGAGATGTATGTAATATAAAGAAATACCCCACAGCTTCTGGTTGCTGGCTCACAAGTGGTACAATTTCTGTTATCTATTTTCTGCTCTGTCTGGGGTCATACATTTTTATTTCATTTTGCTTTCATTTAAATATTGTATTAATTTACAGGCATAGCATCTACACAAGAACTGGACAAAGAAAGTAGACATGAGAATGACTCTGTAGCTGATTCCAGTACTTTTCAGTCCAAAGGACATCTTCTGTGATTTACATTAAAAAATGAGTTGTGAAGTTTGCTATCATGGTGCCTAAACCTCTTTGTGTTTCCTTAACTTCCAGGAAAACTGTGACATATTTATGGATGGACATGCACATATACTATAAAGAACAGATACCAAAGCCTCCTGAGTTCACATCACATGATTGTAAAAACATGAATGGAACAAAGTAAGTATGTGGACCATTGAAAAATCCTTGTTACACAGCTATTTAAGCCCTTGGTCTATTAAGATTACTGTGAAATGGAGTGAAGGAGCTGAGATTTAGACAGGCTGCTCATGGTGATTCTCTCTTGCTCTACACAGACCAAAGGCCAGATTTCAAAGATGCTCTGATTTAGGCTGGCTGCAGAGTGGTAGGCTTTCATGTCCCCATATCAACTATCTAAATAATTTACGTTTCATTCCTCTTTTCTCAAACGTCATTAAATGAAATCTTCAGCGGCCTTGAAGACAATACACGGCTACTCTGCTCTGCAACTTAAGGTAGATAATGGTATTGAAAAGAAATAATTCCTTTGAAAATACTGCTAACATTCTACTGGAAGGAATGCACAGTAGAATTTTTGAAAAGCATTTGTATGAATGAACAGGCTTTTAGTCAAAGAATAAAAAGACTGCGTTTCATTGACACATCCCACATATGAAGATGAACTGATCACAACATATCAACCCAGATTTACCATATCAACTCAGATGTACCAATTCTAGATATAGAGTTGGGCTGAGGAATGAAATTTCTGTTGAGCAAATAGGATAGTAAAACAACCAAATGACAGTAAAATCTGAAGTAGTGTAATGTATGCAAACCTACCAAATGATTTACATCATGATATTTTGAACTTGAAGAACTGCAGTTAATCCTTACTGTATTCACTAGCACTATAGGTCTCTGAAGCAATAACTTCTATTACAAGTTCTTACTTATTTAGGTGACCAACCCTTTGTTATAGCAATATGACATATAACAAACTTCCTTACTTACAGCCAGGAAGTGTTTGTGTAGAAATCCAAGGAGAAGAACTTCCATATCCAGCATTCGTACTGGCAGCAACTGCAAATCTGTACCATCTGTATTTTTTCAGTCCATACACCGTCTCTTCTATCTGGGCATTGACTGCTTTTTCATATAAATATTGATGAATCTCATCTTCAATACATTCCTGAGTTTCCCAATTACTGCAGTGGATAGACTGTAGCTGTGTGGTAATCTTGTAGTTTTGAAAGTAGCCAGGGACCAATTTCGGTGATCTCCAATTCAAAGTCACACTTGTTGATTGCACGTTGGAAAAAACAATATCCCTGGGAGCACTAGGAACTACAAATAAAAGACCTTGTAATAGATCTTCAATTGAATGAAAAGCGATTGCAGCTATAACTGTTTTATCCAGTAGTTAAAAAATAATTTATTAAGCATGTCTGAACTACAGGATTCAATTTCATAGGGTTAATAAGGAATAAATGCATTGGTTTAAATTACACCAAATATATATAGGTGGCATACATGTACTATAGTTTTGAAATAAAGAAAAATACTTTTAGGTGTAGCATGCAAGGCAAGCTTTGAGAGGTGTGACATTGCTGTTGCTACATTTGGGGCTATGTCTCAACTCAGGGAGCGAGTATCAAGCAGTTATTTTTGGCCTATCCATAGCATCTCTTACTGCTATTGCTGTCTGAGATTCCTCACCTCTCACTTAGAAATACTTGTCCCTCTCTCATCTCACCTTCTGAATGGTATCAACACACACAGTATGTTTTTGTATCTTTGTACAATGCAGCTGTTTTACAAGCTGTTCAGCAAACAACAAATTAAAAAAAAACAACACACAAAACACCAAAAACAGTAGCACATGAATAATATGGCCATATAAGATAGAAAAAGAAACTTTCCACAAAGTTTCTTACTGTGTTACTTAAATATGTATATATGCATAGATATAAACAGATTTATAGCAGTGTGCATGCACATGCACATACACACACATTTACCCATATCTATATTAAGCTAACAAAGTACTCTCAGCTCTTGCAGATTGGATGCAACATATGGTTTTGTGCTATATCAAATAGTCATACAGTAAGCTAATATTATCTCTAAGACCCTCTGTAAGATAATACTAATACTCCATGGCAAAAAAACTGTGCAGAGAAATCAGCTCAGAAATCATTTCGTGCATTTAGCTTTAAAGAGTGCTTTGGACTTTTGAGGGAAGAAGTATTGCTGGTAAAAGAAAACACATGATATATCCCAAACTGAAACTGAAGAAGCCCAAAGGCTTACATAAAGAATAAAAGGATTCCAGGCCAATGTTACTGCAGAAGAAAGAGGAAACCTTCAATACTTCTTTTCAGCCTTTTGGGAATCTCTGATCTCAGCATTCACCTGCCAAAATTTGGGCATAAAACATCATCATAACGTAACAAGCTGAAGCCTCTCCACTAAATGTGAATATTTAACAAGAAAGAGATGCAGGTTCACAATCAAAACAAGCTTGAACAACAAAAAGAGAAATTCAAATCCCTTCATATGAGCCCAAAGAAGATGGAACCTGTGGGACAGAGGTCAGACAGAGAAGTCATGGGGACTTCCTCTGTCGCAGTATGCAGTAGCCCCACATGCTCCCAGCTTGATGCTCACTAAGCAAACACAGACCAAAAGCTAACTGGAAAAAAAGAAAAGAAAAGAGAAAGAAAAAGGAAAAAGGAAAAAGGAAAAAGGAAAAAGGAAAAGGAAAAGGAAAAGGAAAAGGAAAAGGAAAAGGAAAAGAAAAAGAAAAAGAAAAAGAAAAAGAAAAAGGAAAAGGAAAAGGAAAAGGAAAAGAAAAAGAAAAAGAAAAAGAAAAAG